ATGGGGAAAGGGGGAAAAAGAAAAAAGAAAAAGAGAAAAAAGAGGAAAAAATGAGAAAAGAAAGATAGAAGGAGAGAGTTCTGTCCAAGTCAACACAGTGAGAGTATTTCCAGCCACCAGTGCGCTGATGAGAAAATGTCAATTGTTCTTCACGAGCCAGCGGTGGGATTCGAACCAGGGACTTGCTGCTTTCAATGGAGGGCAGCGGCAGCTATGTAATGCGTGACGCACATTGCCTTATTTGGACATCATTTGAGCCGGGGTGTTCCCCATTAATGACCCTGAGCTATTTCCCCTTTAATAGAAAAAAAAATGCATTTGAAGTTAGTCCCTGCACCTTACAGTCATTTTTATCAGCGTACAAGGATTATTTGGCTTCTTTTAAAAAGTAAATATTCTTCTCATAAAAAAAATGATTTCACAAACATATCCTAGTTATGAGAATTATCTCCATGTAATTATTCCTTTTCTTCTCCCATCTTACTTCAGGACCAGCGTGCAAACTGCCAAAGGCTCATCGTGTGACTTGGGGAGCACATCTTTCCATTGCTGACCCTCATTCTGAAAATGGAAAAAATCCAGTGGAGAAATATATATACTTAAACTGCATTTAAAAAGTGAGTAATATAAATACTTACTGAGACTGCAATGCTGGCCAGAGAACTGGTGCTTCCAGTGGGGTTGGTGACCTGGGTCTGTAAAGCATTTAGTCTGAGTAACTAGTATTAATAACGCATTTTAAACAGTTGTTGTTTGATCTCTGTTTACCTCGGTTACTTTCCTGGTAGTGCTAAGGTTTGGCTTTGCAGCAGCAACATGAGCACCACCGAATCTTGGCTTGGAAAACTGAAAGAAAATGAAGCACAGGGCCATGTCATGAGAAGACTATACTATCTAACTATCATTTGGTGAACAAAATGTAAATTTGTTCACAGAAAATTAATCAATAATTGTCCAAATACCATTGACAAATTCAATGATGGTCTCTGCTTGTGGCCCGCCACTTCCAGCTCTCGTCCCACTGAGGCCGTCTGTTCCCCGGCGGAGCTCTGGACCACGCCCACTGCAGCAGCCTGTTCCCCGGCGGAGCTTTGGACCACGCCCACTGCAGCAGCCTGTTCCCCGGCGGTGCTCTGGACCACGCCCACTACAGCAGCCTGTTCCCCGGTGGTGCTCTGGACCGCGCCCACTGCAGCAGCCTGTTCCCCGGCGGAGCTCTGGACCACGCCCACTGCAGCAGCCTGTTCCCCGGCAGTGCTCTGGACCACGCCCACTACAGCAGCCTGTTCCCCGGCGGTGCTCTGGACCACGCCCACTGCAGCAGCCTGTTCCCTGGCGGTGCTCTGGACCACGCCCACTGCAGCAGCCTGTTCCCCAGCGGAGCTCTGGACCACACCCACTACAGCAGCCTGTTCCCCAGCGGAGCTCTGGACCATGCCCACTACAGCAGCCTGTTCCCCGGCGGAGCTCTGGACCACGCCCGCTACAGCAGCCTGTTCCCCGGCGGAGCTCTGGACCGCCCCACTACAGCAGCCTGTTCCCCGGCGGAGCTCTGGACCATGCCCACTACAGCAGCCTGTTCCCCGGCGGAGCTCTGGACCACGCCCACTACAGCAGCCTGTTCCCCGGCGGAGCTCTGGACCACGCCCATTGCAGCAGCCTGTTCCCCGGCGGTGCTCTGGACCGCGCCCACTGCAGCAGCCTGTTCCCCGGCGGTGCTCTGGACCGCACCCACTGCAGCAGCCTGTTCCCCGGCGGTGCTCAGGACCGCGCCCACTGCAGCAGCCTGTTCCCCGGCGGAGCTCTGGACCGCTCCCCACTACAGCAGCCTGTTCCCTGGCGGTGCTCTGGACCACGCCCACTACAGCAGCCTGTTCCCCGGCGGAGCTCTGGACCGCACCCACTGCAGCAGCCTGTTCCCCGGCGGTGCTCTGGACCGCGCCCACTGCAGCAGCCTGTTCCCGGCGGTGCTCTGGACCGCACCACTGCAGCAGCCTGTTCCCGGCGGTGCTCTGGACCGCGCCCCACTGCAGCAGCCTGTTCCCGGCGGTGCTCTGGACCGCACCCACTGCAGCAGCCTGTTCCCCGGCGGTGCTCTGGACCGCGCCCACTGCAGCAGCCTGTTCCCCGGCGGTGCTCTGGACCGCGCCCACTGCAGCAGCCTGTTCCCCGGCGGTGCTCTGGACCGCGCCCACTGCAGCAGCCTGTTCCCCGGCGGTGCTCTGGACCACGCCCACTGCAGCAGCCTGTTCCCCGGCGGAGCTCTGGACCACGCCCACGCCCAGTAGCCTGTTGCAGCCCACTGCAGCAGCCTGTTCCCCGGCAGTGCTCTGGACCGCGCCCACGGCAGCAGCCTGTTCCCCGGCGGTGCTCTGGACCGCGCCCACGGCAGCAGCCTGTTCCCCGGCGGTGCTCTGGACCGCGCCCACTGCAGCAGCCTGCAGCAGCCTGTTCCCGGCAGCAGTGTTCTCTGGACTGACCGCGCCACGGCAGCAGCCTGTTCCCGGCGGTGCTCTGGACCACGCCCACTGCAGCAGCCTGTTCCCCGGCGGTGCTCTGGACGCGGCGGCCAGCCTGCGGTGCTGGACCACGCCCCTGCAGCAGCCTGTTCCCCGGCGGTGCTCTGGACCGCGCCCACTGCAGCAGCCTGTTCCCCGGCGGTGCTCTGGACCACGTCCACTGCAGCAGTCTGTTGAACTGAGAGACCCTGAACAATACTTTCTCTGGTTGGCTGCTGTTCCATGGCAGAGTAGATAAATTATTCATTTGTTCATTTTGTGATTTACACACAAACTACTTGAGTCTTTAATTGGTCATTACTACCTTCTGCATGTGGAATCCACACGTACAGGTCTTCGCTTGGCCAAACAAGAACCTCTGTCCACGAGCCTGCATTGGACATTTTTCTATCAAAAAACAAAGTTGTGCGTTTGACTGAATTGAACATGAATTGAATCATGATTTTCATTTGTGTAATTACAGGTATATAATGTAAGTTTTTTTGCATATTCTTATTAACTTCGAAGAAAATTACAAACATGTAATATTTATCAATAATCATGTGAAGTTACCTCATAGGAACCTAGCCTTTTATGGTATTTTATAAAAGTTATGAGTAAACTCTACTGCGAGAGTAAATAATAATTAACCAAAATACACCATGAATATGCTCATACCCTTTGATAGAGGTCATACCACCTCTTCTGCCTGGGAGCTGGCCTGTTTCCCTCTTCTGCAGGCCAGGCCCCAGTGCTGGCAAACTTCCGCAGGCGCAAAATCCATTCTGAGTCGGCCATCGCCTTGTGGGATTTTGTTTTTGAAGACATTGTGCCTTGGGTGACATAAATGCATGGCCATTTTTTATTTTTTTTTAAATAAAAACATCAGAAGTGCTGGAACATGAAAGCCAGGCCATCGGTCTAGTCATATTGTAATAATCTAATGGACAACCCAGAGCCACCAAAGCTATAATACAACTATACTGAACTAACCTGAATTCCATAATAAATAAATTCTTACATTGAGAAGCAAAAATTATCACAAATTAGAAAGCTAGCAGATTATATTCTCAGCGAATTATTTTAATATTTGACAATATTAAGTATAATAGCAAAATAGCTCAGAATTTGGCTCTCTTTGAAATAGAGGAGACAGGATAACATGACAGTCAGTTGGAATAATCTGGCTCTTCATTTATGAAAAGCATTTATTGTTGACATTTTATTACATTAGCAAGGCCTACTTTACTTTTTTCATGCAACATTATATAAGGATTAGAGAGGCCTGAGCTAGATTACGGCACCGTTGATACTGCACCAGTACAGGTAGCTTGCTCATTAACATGCACAGGTGATTGAATGCGGACCACGTTTACAGTAAATAATAACAACGAAAACAAAGATAAAAATGCTTAAGTATCATTGATTATGATATTTTGCCCTCGAAACTCATCGTAGCCACGCCAACGAACACTACCTAAAAGCTACAAACATTAGGAGTCAAATTACAGGTAGATGACAAGGTGTTCCGTTACATAGCTAGCAAGATGACGACCATTAAATCTCTCAATATGACGGGTCACCCTGGTGAAAAATAACTTTTACATAAAGCTGTGTCGAATACAACACCGTAATAAATGTGTAAATACTCACGCATTAAGTTCGAGCAAATTTGAACAAACTGTCAATTGTGATTACGTCTTCCTGACAGTGACAGTATCCCCACTACTTGATAAACGCCCCCTTCGAAAAAAAATTTGTTTCTTCTCCGCGCCAACATTTCTCTGCCGCGATTGGTCAAATGTTGGAAGCCGGGAAAAATTCGCAAAGAGGATTGGTGGCAGAATGTTGGAGCCGCGTATATCATTAGCCATACTGTCCAACATTTCCAAAATGTTGAACGGCCGATCCTTTGGCAGCTGGGGATTAGGCTCCAGTCTCTTCGGGGATGAGGGTTCGAATCCCTCTGCTGCCATTGTGCTCCCAAGCTGAAACCCACACAGTCTTAATAATGACACGTCAAGTAAAACAGACTCCAGGCTGAAGCGCGCAATTGCATTGCAAAGAGCAATTGTGAATTCTAAAAAAAAATAGAACCTGGACTCTCAAACGAAACTGCAACTGAAGTACTAATCCAGGAATTGAAGGCTGGGCCATTTGAAGGCGAGAATTTGAATCTTTCTGCTACCATGTAGATCCCAGGCTGGAAAACATTCCGTTTTAATGATGAAATGTCAGGTAAAAGAGCTTTCTCATTGAAGAGGCTGACTGCATGGCAAATAGCCGGCGTGAATTAAGAGACAAATAGAACCTGGACTCTGAGACGAGGAAGGACAAATGAAGCACCACCTTACGCAGGAATTGAGGCCTATGCCTTTTGTATCTGAAGCACAGAACATATTCCGAGAACAGCTGTAACATAACCTCTCCGGAAGGTAAAAGTTCATATGGCCCAAAGTCGGTGAGAAAGGCAGGAGTTGAGGTATGGAAGATGGGATTGTGGTGTTGGTGGTTTAGTGGTAAGCATAACTGCCAGCTACGCAGTGGACCCGTGTTTGATTCCCGGCCAACGCAAAGGTTCAGAAGTTTATTTGCTAATCTGCTGAAAAGTGAATTATTGCAGTGCTTGACCCCCTCTTCAAACCTGACCAAGAAATCCACACCAGCTGAAAATGGGGATGTGCTTTTACTAAAACCTACAAAAGAAGGAATCAAGGCTTTCATTAATGTCCATTATTTTTGACCCATTGCGGTTACCAAAGATAATTTTCACTAATACTTCTTTTGGTGCAACATTTACATGAGGAAAAGGAAAATTAATACAAATCAGTGACAAGTATCCAGAGGACTAACACAAAGAAAAACATAATTGACAAAGAACAGTGTGAGGGATCTCAGACACTAGATATATTTACCAGCTGTTGTTGCTGAGTTCAATCTAAGAAATTCACACTGTAAATAAATAACAGCTGGCAATAAAATCCATGAACGCAAACCAAACTCAAATTCTGCAAAACAGCACAGAAAATGACACTTTAAATCAAAACCAATTTTATCAATCAAGCACTGTACGCATAGAATTTGCCACAATACATTTAAGATACATCACCAGTGAAAGGAAGCTGTAGGTTCTCTAGTGAAGGGTAGCATGGCCGAGCGGTCCAAGGCGCTGGATTTAGGCTCCAGTCTCTTTGGGGGCGAGGGTTCGAATTCCTCTGCTGCCATTATGCTTCCAAGCTGAAAACCACACAGTCTGAAAAATGACACGTCAAATAAAACAGACTCCAGGCTGAAGCGCGCAATTGTGAATTCAAAAAAAAAATTGAATCTGGACTCTCAAAGGAAACTGCAATGAAGTACTAATCCAGGAATTGAAAGCTGGGCCATTTGTGTATGAAGTTCAGATCACATCTCTAGAACAGTGGTTCTCAATGTCGGTCCTGGGGACCTCGTGTGTGCTGGCTTTTGTTGCTACCACACCAAGTACCATACCAAGTAAGTGAGCTACCACAGCTGCCGCATGAAAAGCTCAAACAGTGCCCTCACAGCGGTTTCTCATTTAGTACCATTTCATGGTCAAGATGGAGCCATGATTTATTTCCATCGCACAAAACACAGTGCGGTGGTCTTGTCTATTTCCATGATGCTTTGCACTCTTTTATTACTCCCATAGCTTAATAAAGTTTTGCTCTCCCTCGTTACTTGTCCCAAAGTAGGCTTGCAAGTTTAGTTTATATACATATGGCATCAAAGACCTTGAGTCATTCGTCATAGGCTTTCAACATCCAGCTGGCATCGTCCGAGATAAAATCATTCACAATGCTGAATTTGAGCTGAAGTTTCTGTTGGCACTGCTTAATCCTGTCCTCGAAAGATGAATGCAGAAACTTGCAATGTAATGTTGGCGCAACCATGTTCCGCCCCAAACATTTTGTGTTTTCTCCTTGTCGTTGGCTGTCATATCAAGCATCTGTTCATGCTTTGAGGGTAAAAATGACGGAGAAGCTCTGTCCAAATACAAAAGTGAAAGAATAAAAATTGGGCAAGGACTCTGAGATCAATCAGAATTTTCACTTGAAATTGAGGAAATTCATGTGTAATATTTCCCTCTGACAATTGTGGGGAATTAGTTCAAATGGTAGAGCGTTCGCTTAGCATGCGAGAGGTAGCGGGATCAATGCCTGCATTCTCCAGCCTTGCCTTTTGTGCCCTCACAGGCGTGCTCCTGCATTCACTGCCGAGGCGGACTAGGACGCGGAGTCAATTGTGCAATACAGTGCGTGTTTCTGAGCAGAAAAGACTCTTCGCTGCCTTTATCTCAGAGGATTGCTCTGACATGTATTCCCTCTGACCCCTACTGCTGGAGCACTGAAGCCCGCCAGGACCCCTGGCATTGACAGCAATGATGAACAGCAAGCAATGTCTCAATTTTAGTTTGAAGTCAAAGTCAACTAACACTATGCATCATTAGTTTTGCTTGTCCCAGGAGTAGTGAAAGCAAGGACAGCTGCAGGGTCATTGCTGAAATTAAGATAAGGTTCAATTGCCATTGTTTTACAAGACTTGCAAAATGTCATTGCCGACATTTGGAATGGCGCTCTACAGTACATACATTTTCAGGTCATTGACTGCCATTTCCTCCTCGTTAGTATAGTGGTGAGTATCCCCGCCTGTCACGGGGGAGACCGGGGTTTGATTCCCCGACGGGGAGTTGGAGGTTTTTCCCCCAGTCACTGTCAGAACAAAGAAAAAAAGCTGACTCATTTTCGCTGCGAATGCCATTGTGAAACCTAAAGTCTATCCTTTCAACACTATTACACATGGCCTGTGGATTAAAAAAAGTGCTTTTTTCACAAGCTGAGCATTGAGCACTGATATTTCTCCAGGCTAAAAGTGGTTTCCAACATACAGCTCTGGCAGGAATGCCATTCTTGCCCAGTGGCTTTCGCTTTTCTTTCTTGCCCGGCACTACATCATTCTGTTCGTGCAGCCCACAGTGCATTCGCCTTTCTTGTGCAGCTGACTTTTTTGTTCACAAGGCAAGCAAACGACTCAAGTCATCTTGTTTTTTGCACAAGAGAAAGTTAAAAAAGAACAGGACATCTGGAAATGTCGAGAGAAAGCCCTCATACTGCCGAAACCCGGGACTGAACCAGGGACCTTCAGATCTTCAGTCTAACGCTCTCCCAACTGAGCTATTTCGGGCAAAGTTACATTGCACTCTCTGATACCTCTAAATGGTAGAAATCTGTGCGAAGACAGCATTTTCTCCAAAATCCGTCTTCTCTGAGGAAATTTCGGGCTATTTTGACCAGTTTGATTACCTGCATAAGGTAAAATCATTCATCCTTCAGCAAACCATCAAGAGTGCCCCCTGAGATTCAGTTATCGCATAGCTCATACCAAGTAAGTGAGCTACCACAGCTGCCGCATGAAAAGCTCAAACAGTGCCCTCATGGCAGTTTCTCATTTGGTACCATTTCATGGTCAAGATGGAGCCATGATTTATTTCCATCCCACAAAACACAGTGCGCTGGTCTTGTCTATTTCCATGATGCTTTGCACTTTTTTATTACTCCCATAGCTAAATAAAGTTTTGCTCTCCCTCGTTACTTGTCCCAACGTAGGCTTGCAAGTTTAGTTGATATACATATGGCATCAAAGACCTCGACTCATTCCTCACACGCTTTGTACATCCAGCTTGCATCGTCCGAGATAAAATCATTCACAATGCTGAATTTGAGCTGAAGTTTCTGCTGGCACTTTAATCCTGTCCTCGAAAGATGAATGCAGAAACTTGCAATGTAATGTTGGCGCAACCATGTTCCACCCCAAACATTTTGTGTATTCTCCTTGTCTTTGGCTGTCATATCAAGCATCTGTCCATGCTTTGAGGGTAAAAATGACGGAGAAGCCCTGTCCAAATACAAAAGTGAAAGAATAAAAATTGCGCAAGGACTCAGAGATCAATCAGAATTTTCACTCGAAATTGAGGAAATTCATCTGTAATATTTCCCCCAAACAACCTTGGGGAATTAGCTCAAATGGAAAAGCGCTCGCTTAGCATGCGAGAGGCAGCGGGATTGATGCCCGCACTCTCCAGCTCTGCCCCCCGTGCCCTGACAGGCGTGCTCCTGCATTCACTGCCGAGGCGGACTAGGATACCGAGTCAATTGTGCAATACTGTGCGTGTTTCTGAGCAGAAGAGGCTCTTCACTGCCTTTATCGCAGAGGATTGCTCTGACATGTATTCCCTCTGACCCCCACCACTGGAGCACTGAAGCCCGCCAGGACCTCTGGCATTGACAGCAATGATGAACAGCAAGCAGTGTCTTAATTTTAGTTTGAAGTCAGAGTCAACTAACACTATGCATCATTAGTTTTGCTTTTCCCAGGACTAGTGAAAGCAAGGACAGCTGCAGGGTCATTGCTGAAATTAAGATAAGGTTCAATTGCCATTGTTTTACAAGACCTGCAAAATGTCATTGCAGAGATTTGGAATGGCGTTCTACAGCACATACATTTTCAGGCCATTGATTGCCATTTCCTCCTCGTTAGTATAGTGGTGAGTATCCCCGCCTGTTACGGGGGAGACCGGGGTTTGATTCCCCGACGGGGAGTCGGAGGTTTTTTTCCCAGTCACTGTCAGAACAAAGAAAATAAGCTGACTCATTTTCGCTGTGAGTGACATTGTGAAACCTAAAGTCTGTCCTTTCAACACTATTGCACATGGCCTGTGGATAAAAAAAAAGTGCTTTTTTCATAAGCTGAGCATTGAGCACTGATATTTCTCCAGGCTAAAAGTGGTTTCCAACATCCAGCTCTGGCATGAATGCCATTCTTGCCCAGTGGCTTTCGCTTTTCTTTCTTGCCCGGCACTACATCATTCTGTTCGTGCAGCCCACAGTGCATTCACCTTTCTTGTGCAGCTGACTTTTTTGTTCGCTAGGCAAGCAAACGACTCAAGTCTTCTTGTTTTTTGCACAAGCGAAAGTTAAAACAGAACATAACATCTGGGAATGTCGAGAGAGGGCCCTCATACTGCCAAAACACGGGACAAAACCAGAGACCCTTAGATCTTCAGCCTAACGCTCTCCCAACTAAGCTATTTCGGCAAAGTTGTTCTGCATTCTCTGATACCTCCACACTGTAGAAATCTGTGCGAAGGCAGCATTTTCTCCAAAATCCATCTTCTCTGAGGAAATTTCAGGCTATTTTGAGCAGTTTGATTACCTGCATATGGTAAAATCATTCATCATCCAGCAAACCATCAAGAGTGCCCCCTGAAATTCAGTAATCGCATGGCTCATACCAAGTGAGTGAACTACCACAGCTGCCGCATGAAAAGCTCAAACAGTGCCCTCACAGCAGTTTCTCATTTGGTATCATTTCATGCTCAAGATGGAGCCTTGATTTATTTCCATCCCACAAAACACAGTGCGCTGGTCTTGTCTATTTCCATGATGCTTTGCACTCTTTTAGTACTCCCATATCTTAATAAAGTTTTGCTCTCCCTCGTGACTTGTCCCAACGTAGGCTTGCAAGTTTAGTTTATATACATATGGCATCAAAGACCTTGAGTCATTCCTCACACGCTTTCTACATCCAGCTTGCATCGTCCGAGATAAAATCATTCACAATGCTGAATTTGAGCTGAAGTTTCTGTTGGCACTGCTTAATCCTGTCCTCGAAAGATGAATGCAGAAACTTGCAATGTAATGTTGGCGCAACCATATTCCACCCCAAACATTTTGTGTATTCTCCTGGCGTTGGCTGTCATATCAAGCATCTGTCCATGCTTTGAGGGTAAAAATGACGGAGAAGCCCTGTCCAAATACAAAAGTGAAAGAATAAAAATTGCGCAAGGACTCAGAGATCAATCAGAATTTTCACTCGAAATTGAGGAAATTCATCTGTAATATTTCCCCAAATAACCTTGGGGAATTAGCTCAAATGGTAGAGCGCTCGCTAAGCATGCGAGAGGTAGCGGGATTGATGCTCGCACTCTCCAGCTTTGCCCCTTGTGCCCTGACAGGCGTGTTCCTGCATTCACTGCCGAGGCGGACTAGGATGCCAAGTCAATTGTGCAATACTGTGTGTTTCTGAGCAGAAGAGGCTCTTCCCTGCCTTCATCTCAGAGGATAGCTCTGACGTGTATTCCCTCTGACCCCTACTGCTGGAGCACTGAAGCCCACCAGGACCCCTGGCATTGACAGCAATGATGAAAACCAAGCAATGTCTCAATTTTAGTTTGAAGTCCAAGTCAACTAACACTTTGCATCATTAGTTTTGCTTGTCCTAGGAGTAGTGAAAGCAAGGACAGCTGCAGGGTCATTGCTGAATTTAAGATAAGGTTCAATTGCCATTGTTTTGCAAGACCTGCAAAATGTCATTGCAGACATTCGGAATTGCGTTCTACAGCACATATATTTTCAGGCCATTGCCTGTCATTTCCTCCTCGTTAGTATAGTGGTGAGTATCCCCGCCTGTCACGCGGGAGACCGGGTTTCGATTCCATGATGGGGAGTTGGAGGTTTTTTCCCAGTCACTGTCAGAACAAAGAAGAAATGCTGACTCATTTTAGCTGTGAATGACATTGTGAAACCTAAAGTCTGTTGTGAAACCTAAAGTCTGTCCTTTCAACACAATTACACATGGCCTGTGGATAAAAAAAAGTGCTTTTTTCACAAACTGAGCATTGAGCACTGATATTTCTCCAGGCTAAAAGTGGTTTCCAACATCCAGCTCTGGTATGAATGCCATTCTTGCCCAGTCGCTTTAGCTTTTCTTTCTTGCCCGGCACTACATCATTCTGTTCGTGCAGCCCACAGTGCATTCACCTTTCTTGTGCAGCTGACTTTTTTGTTCACTAGGCAAGCAAACGACTCAAGTCTTCTTGTTTTTTGCACAAGAGAAAGTCAAAACAGTACAGGACATCTGGGAATGTTGAGAGAGGGCCCTCATGCTGCCAAAATCCGAGATTGAACCAGGGACCTTTAGATCTTCAGTTTAACGCTCTCCCAACTGAGCTAATTCAGCAAAGCCGCCTCATATTCTCTGATACTGCCAAACGGTAGAAATCTGTGCGAAGACAGCGTTTTCTCCAAAATCCGCCTTCTCTGAGGAAATTTCAGGCTATTTTGAGCAGTTTGATTACCTGCAAATGGTAAAATCATTCATCATCCAGCAAACCATCAAGAGTGCCCCCTGAGATTCAGTTATCGCATGGCTCATACCAAGCGAGTGAGCTACCACAGCTGCCGCATGAAAAGCTCAAACAGTGCCCTCACAGCAGTTTCTCATTTGCTACCATTTCATGGTCAAGATGGAGCTATGATTTATGTCCATCCCACAAAACACAGTGCGGTGGTCTTGTCTATTTCCATGATGCTTTGCACTTTTTTATTACTCCCATTGCTTAAAGGGACATTGTCTAGGAATTACTCCCATCCAGCGTTGAAATTCAAACGAATAGTGCACTCTAGCGCCTCACTTTTTCAAACACGTATTGCAACTGCGGTAGCCACCGTGTATCAAAAAGCCTTGACAACACTGATGAAACCATGGATGTATTATAGGTCCATGGTTGTGTGGGGCTCATGAACGCGCTGACGCCTGACGCATCTATGACAACCGTCCGCGCCCGAAGCACTCCCACACAGGATGCTTGTTCACGACCAATGTTCTCTGGAAATGTAGCTATGTCCACTGCAAATCCCATCCCAGCGGGCACACAACGTTGTCACGTTTTAAGGAGGTTGTATGACAACGTTGTGGTTCAGTCTCAAAATGGTCATTTTTGCAACATCCAAATGACGTTTTAAGGCAACGTTGTAATAACGTTGTAAGGAGGTTGTGAGACAATGTTGTGGCCCAGTCTCATAATGGTCATTTTTGCAACATCTAAAAGACGTCTTCTCACAAGATTGTTTTAAATCGTCTTTTGGATGTTTCAAAATAACTACTTTAAGACAAGATGAAAGTTGAATTTGTAATCCCTTTCAATACAGATCTCCACACTTGACAACACTGGTGTGCAAAGAAATTGACATTTTACTGATCAAATAATGATGAGGCACAGAATTTGATGAATTATCAAAGATTTATTGTTCATCATCCAGTTCTGCTTGCTGCAGCGCATTTTCCAGCATTTTGGCCTGCATGGCCTTCCATTTTGCAGGGGCATGCTTGATATAGTCCCCAATTGCGGATGAAACATCAGTGTCTGTGCTGTCCGGAAATCTGTCTAACACTGCATCTGGAAAGGAAGACATAACATTCCGATATTTCTTGATACAAGAATATAAATGTAATATTAAAATTTCATTCATTACTTGATAAAACAATTTTAAAACAACTTCATATAATTCTAAACCCTATTTTAGAAATTCATTGGTCTTCTTTTATATTTATCTCTCAGTAAATGGTAAACGCTTTCTTTTTTAAGGGGCCTGTTTCCCTTCGACCCGTACATATTGTATTTGCCCTGAACTTCAACCGACATTATTCTACAAAGACACATCAATGACAGATATAAAATTACTGTAACATGTACTGTGCATTACCTTATATGTAATGTCCTGAGTTTTTTTTACTGCATAAAATGGATCTTACCATAATCAATTCTGATTTTTATTTTTGATTTGATAAACAATATTTACATACAATTAAGCATGCCTTCATACTTAAGCAAAAGCACTGACCTGTTCAGGATATTCCGTACTGCATTTCGCAAATTTTTACCTCCTATTTTCTTCAACTCATTCAACTGGAGAAAAGAGAAGAAACAGCATTAGAATATGGATGTACAATTGCGGAAGTGCTTTGCATTAAGGCCTTTGGGTAATGAATATTATGCAATTTTTTTAGAAAAAGTTGACAGCTGAATTTTAAGAGAAAATATTCTTTAATTTAATGTTGATAGTTCTAAAATTATATGTGTACTTCAACCTCATATCTCTCAACCACTAAAATGTGGTTAGAAATACTATCCATTTCTAATACTTCAAACTTTACTAGCTTCACATATTCAAAGAAATGGGAAAATTATGGCCTGTTAATTTAAACAATGAAAATAAAGGTGCAGAATGGACACACGAGTAAGGGACTTTAAGCTCATCCTGTATAATTTTTTTTTTTCTGAAATTTGCAAATGCAAGTTTAAAGTTTTCCTGATATTGCAAATTTACTTTTCTGAAATAATTTCAAATTTAACCTATTTGACTCACATCATCAATATTGTAAATTATGTCATTTCATTTTCTTTAACTTTCTTCTCGAACACACAAAAATTTTTAGTAATTTTTTAGAAATTTGATTAATTTGCTACTGACGGAATGAGCATAGAATCTGAGTTTAAAATTTTAAGATTAAATTAATTAGAGCAGCAAATATGGTATTTACCATAACAGCAAAAAGAGATGCAATATCTTTTAGCCATTAGAAGGAAATAAATTAAGCAAGCCTTTCACCATACAAACAAACAAACACCATATTGTGAGCTCAAAAATTACTGACACCCCTGACTGGCTATGTACAAAACATACTTTCAAAATCTCTGATAGATATAGTCATTGAGCAATCCAAATACTGCACTCTTCAAAAAAAAGTAGGGGATATTGGAATTTCAAGGTCAATAACAAAATAATGATTGTGTTTTGGACACAATAATCAACTGCAATGACGATAACATGAACTGCTCTAAACAGAGCACCAAAACGCAGCCAATGGTGCGCTAGTGCATCACATGGAAATCCCGAACAAGTGGCCAGGGTGCGTATTCAAAGGTGGCGTCCCATTATCAGGAAGAAATCCTCAATAATTTTTTTTTTTTTTTTCAAATTGCAATCAAACCATGGCTTGGGATCTATGATTTAGATGTTAATCTCTCTAGAAATGACAATTTTCATTTATGTGTAATCCACTTGATGCTTTTTACACATTCAAAGTTAGGCATACCAGCCATTTTCATCAATTTTACTGGATTTTCCGGCATTCAAGGCCAGAAAACCATAACAGCACACAATAAGGACACTTTTTATTTGCTAATTTGAATATACATATAGTTAGCTTCATTTTAGACCCCTTCAACCCCTGAGAGTCACAAGGAGTGAGA